CCGTTGGCAATTTGTATATTTTGTTTTTAAGGTTGAACACATTTTATGTCCGTTTAAAACCACATTCCTGCGTGGATTTAACTGAAAATTAAAGTGCTGAGGGAAGACACAAAACAATGGTAAATTTGTAGTTTCCAAGGACACCAAACATGTGTGATTCACCGAACTCTGATGACTATTTCCTAGCTCATATTATTATTATTAACTCTGACAACCTACCTCCTACAATCTCAAATTAACTCAATTTCTATTCCAGAGAGATGAGTATTTTAAAAAAATAAAAAATCAGACAAACGAAAGGCCTACAAGGTTCCAATAACCTTATCCGTACGTCGTGTTTTACTATCGTATCCATACGACGTGGGGATCTCTGGGCACCATTTGCCAAAGAAGAAATTTACTCATTAATCCGATCCGTACGCTTTGCCTAGCAGTCTGTCAAAATGATTTTTTGAGAAAAACTGAAAGTTTCAAAGAGATCTTCGTACTACAAGTATTTTAAAATGTGAAGAATACAACCCCGGGGTACAAAATGACCCCAGGGCGTACGGATAGGGTTAAAGTTGTTCTCTTTTGTAGCGAAGACAAATCCCAGAGAGGGAAATCTCACCAGACGTCACGTATCTCTGCTAGTGATTGGAATGTTGAGATAATTAAGCTCACATCGTGACTGCTTTCAGCCGGAAAACAAAACTATAAGAATAATGACCTATGTCCAATGTAAAAACCCCGAAAACCACCAGGACAATATTATTCAAGTGTATTGTCCAGAATGATAATGAGGACAAACCAGGTAGGGCACTAACTATACGATTTACATTTTTTTTTGGTGGTCTTTTGAGATTTTTTTTTCTTTATCCGGTTGAGCATATATAAGAAGAGGGAAATTGTTCTGTTGTTTGTCTGTTTGTTTTTGTTATCCGCGTGTGTGTGTGGGAGGTGGGTATGTTGGAGTAGGATAAAACACGAAGAAGGGCGAGATGAGTCGATCTATAGGGATTGCGAAAAGAAATGTTATTTCATACAGATTTCAGAAAAGGTTTAATATCTGCACTCTATTTTTTCCCACCATACAAAAACAAACAAACACATACACACACACACACACACACACACACACACA